CCCCCCCCCCCCAGCTACCCCAGCTGGGGCATTGGATGGAGCTAGCCAGGCCCACGAGGCGGGGGGGCTCTGTTCCACCATCTTCCCCATCTCCAGCTATGGCAGAACCCAGTTGGCAGCTGAGTGCTGCTCATGACAAGAGGCTTGACCCAGGGGTGGGGGAAAGGAGCTCCCTCTTCACCCCCAACCTGAGCCTCTTGACAGCAGCAGTATGCAGCTGCTGGCTGGGCTTTGCCATGGCCAGAGCTGGGTGGGAGTGACAGCTGGGGAGAGGGGTGGTTTGGAAGCCTCCTTGGAGGCTGCTGGAACACCCTTACCTGCTGCCAGGGCTGGTGCAGGCAGGCTTCAACCCACTCTGCTTTGTGTAAAGTGCCATGAGTTAAAGTGAGGCCCCTAAATGTCTGTGGGTACCATAGTAGTTCATTCAGTTTCTTCCAAGAGAAATATGTCCCCTCTAGCAGAAAGGCCTTCCAGGCATTAACTTGGACAATATACCCTATGAGAGAGTTTCTCTTGGTAGACCGGGAGAAGCTAAACAGCAGCTTCTCCTGTGCTTTCCCCAGACTGGCAGTAGTAGCAGACTTAACTGATTTGGGTCAAACTGGTTTATGCAATGTCTGTCCCAGACCGCTTGCTGGCATGCTCTCTGGCTGGGTGGGGTCCTCTGCTCCACAGCAAGGCTGTCCCCTCCCCTCTGTTCCCTGGAAGGAGCTTGGCAGAGGCACAGAACACCTGCCTGGCTTCTCCCTGCTAAGCAGGGATTATTCTCCCCACCCCTCTGCCTTTTGAAGACACCTCAACATTAGCTAGCAGACTACATGCTGGCTATGGTCCATGCTGTGAGAGAGGACAGAGGCAGACATGTGTTTTGGAGCTAATCAGCAGGTAGCTTAATGTCCTTGCTTGGAAGAGGTGTTTAAGAAGAGCTCCATTAGTTAACAGAGAGAGGTTTTGTTTTGTTTTGTTTTGTTAATGGATTAATAAACACTGAGTTAGGGGTACTAAACATTCCCTGCTGCGCAGCTCAGGAGGGGGAGGAGGGAATAATCAGAGTGTCCTGCCAGGACCTGGCCACGTCCCCCTCAGCTCTGCTCTGTGGAAGTAAAGGGAGGGCTGCTGCAGCACCCCCTGACCTCTAGCCTGGGGCACTGCAGGCAAGTCCCTGCATTTCTGGGATGTCTGTCTGGTTACAAAACTAATTTAGCCTAGCCAGGTTAGACTAACTTGCAAAGACTGAATCAATTCAGGCTCAGGCTTTTTGAATGTCTGTCCCTAGCCAGAGACCCAAGTCTGCAGAAAGTGGGTGGGCATTTCCCTGCAGTTCAACTCTTCCCGATTATGGAGGAGTTGAGCTGCTGCTGCCCTCCCTCCTTCAGACTTCCTGGCATGGAGAAGACATGGCAACGTTGCCCTGTTGCTCCTTCCCATCCTAGAGACTGGGACAGGAGGGGACAAACAGTTGCCTACTGCTCCCTGTGCATACCCCCAGATGGATGTGTCCCTGGTCTGAGGAATGGGTTGCATGCCTTGCCTTGATGCTCCCTCCTCTCCTAGAGAACAGGTGGGGAGAGGAGGAGCAGCTGCTTGCTGCCCCTTGTCTGTTCCTTGCACTGGGAAGGAAGACCTGCTGGGGAGTACAGCAGCAGGGAAATGCTCCCTATACTTCCACAGACCAAAGTGACCAGGAGGGTCTGGGAGGAATGAAGCAGCTGCAGTCTGGCCAACCTAGACTGAACTCCTGTACTGCACCCTCTCCCAGGAAGATTTGTAGAGGTGGAAGTATTCCCAGAAATTTCCACTGCTAGAAATTAATGCCTGTTCATACTTAGTGTTACCCCCTCCGATTACCTACTATTATTCAAGAAGAACCTTCTGAGATCAATGTCTGGATCTCATCTTCTCAGGTTGGGGCTTTCCCTAAATTTAGAATGCTAGTGCAAAATAGCAAATATAATTACACTATGGAAATCTGTCACCAATGGAGAGGTTTCTAGTCTCATAGTAACATTTAGAATAGATGTAACATTGCTGATTTGCTCTGTTGAGTGTAGTAAGGTAAGTTTTAATTTTGATCATGCCTCATTGAATCATGATGTTCACCTTAACAAAAGTCAGTATATGCTTGCTCATGGTATTGAACTTCAGCTTTCCTAACATTTATTAAGAAGTGTTTTTGGTGATGTCTTATCTGAAATGTATTTCACTAAGCTTAATGAACACGGTTCTGAAAATGTTTTAAGATGCACTTATATTTTGATGTTCTTTTCCAAAAGCTATACTTGCTCCTGAGGCCTTCTCTTCAGGGAGGAGAGGCAACCCATATAAAACATGGCATAAACCCAGTGATATCAACCCCTACAGGTTTAAGTAATCCCATTTAGGTAAGTACATTTCATAGAACATCAATCTGTCGAGGAATGTTGTGGGACAAGTGGTGGTGAACTGGGGTTGTGGAGTAGCTCAGAGAACAGATGTCCTGAAAAACTAGTAACACTACAGTAGGGGCAGGCAAAGTCTGGTCCATGGGCCAGATTGGGCCCACAGTCGACTCTGGTTCTCAGCAGCCCCTGCCCACATCGCTGCAGCCAGTTTCCATGGAGACCTCAGCAGCAGCGGGGCCATGACAAAATCAAGTATCAAGGCAATACTTTTGCGTGACATGATGTTTATTCAAGTTTGGACATACTTTAGCATGCAATTAATTGCTAATGTAAAGTGACATAGAAAGCAAAGAGCTTATAAAATGGCACCATTTTTCTTGGAGGCAAGGATTTCTTAGGGTGATATTTTTTTATTGGACCAACTCTGTAGCTGGAATAAATTTAGACAAGCTTTCAAATGCAAGGCCATTTCTCTGTGGCATATTTGGATTGCTCTTCCACTGCATAACTTAAAAATTTGATCAAAAGGTATGTTAAATAAAATATTTTTCCTGTATACCTGGTTTTAACATGTTAGAGTTTGGGATTAGGTGCCTCATGGACTGGATATAAAATCTCTTGCCTTTAAGTTTGTCAGTTTAAATCAGCCTGGGTCAGTAATGACCAGGGATCCTGGTTTTCCTTGATTAAAAAAAAATCTCAAATTCTCTGATAAAAAAAATTTAAAATCTCTGATGAAACCCCCCAAAATCCATGATTAAAACGAAAGGTTTCTCACTTCTCTCCCCATAGCCCCTTGGCCCTGCTGGTGCCCCTCATGCCCCCACACAGCCCCCTGCACCTCCCGGCCCTACCATAGGGGGCCCCCAGCTGCCAGGTCTGTGGGGCCGGGGACCCGAGTCCACAGTCCCCTGCCCCCAGCTGGCTGAAGGCGGCGGCTGCTGCAGTGGAGTAGAGCCCCCCCGCTGCCCGCCTTCTGCAGGCTCAGGTGGGGGGGGTGGCTCCCTGCCACTGGGTACATTCTGGAGGGCAGGGGGGACCCATGCCCCTCAGATCTGTGTGTGGGACAGGCACAGGCACAGGCTGCCCCCTGCAAGCTCAGGCTCCCCACCCTGCTGCCCTCCCCCAGATCCCCACAGCCCATGACACTGCAGTGAACAGCAGAGCCATGCGGGGATCTCCTTGTGAGCTTTGTGCTGCCCTGGTGACACATCCCCTGTGTAAGGGGATGCAGTGAGGGGCACAACCCCATGCTGCCACCTCTGCTGCTGCCACGTGGGTAGGGGGTACATCACCAGGGCAGTGCACAGCTCACAGCAGCAAGGAGATCCCCATGTGGTCCCACTGTTCCTTGCAGTGCTAAGTCTCACTTGCTTGGCTGTGGAGGCCCCAGGGGAGGGCAGCAGGGTGGGAGCCCAAGCCAGCCATGGGCAGCCTATGCCCACCCCCTCCCTGGGCACAGCTAGCCATGGGCAGCCTGTGCCTCTGCCCCCTAGAGTGCATGCAATGGCAGGCAGTGGGCCCCACCTCTGCCCCCAGATGAGCCACCTGCAGTCCCATCCAGCTCTCCACTGGGGCCCTGCAACTGCATTTTGTGGCCCAGAGCCCCAAGCCCCATCCACTGCCCAGCTGGGCAGCAGCTCCAGCCCCAGCCCTGCCCAACTGCCTCCCTCCCTTCCTATGGGGGCCTCAATCCCCCCTCCCCCACACTTACCTGAGGGAGCTGCTCTCCAGGCTGCCTTCTGGCTATGTGCATATACATGGTGCCCCCTGCCTGACTGCCCTCCTCCCATTCTCCCAGCCTCTTGCAGGCTAGAACTCTGCAAAACTGCAAAATTCGTGAGTTTCTCCAGTACAATGAGAAATCTATCTTTGCCTATGGTAAAAGGTAAAATCTTCAGTTTTCTCCATTTTGTGGGAAATGGAAAACCCAGATTCCTGTTAATGACCAGGGATCCAGGTTTTTCATTTGCCATGGAAAAATACAGTAAAACCTACACTTCCTTATTTTTAAGGAGAAAAACCTGGATTTTCTCCTTTTAAAGGAGAAAAATCCGGGAAGCTGTGGGTTTCCCATTGCAGGCTGACAGGGTGGGTGGGGAGTGGGGGCACCGGCAGGGCCCAGGGGGCTGTCAGTGGGGAGTGAGGGGCACCAGGCAGGAATGGGGGACTGTGGCTTGTGAGTGAAGGGCAATGGCATGGGCAGGACACCGGCATATCAGAGCTGCTCAGTGCCACAAAGCTGGGGGGCGGGGGGAGGGAGGGGAAACTGCTGCAGCTGGACCCACATCCTGGTGGTCTCTTCAGGACAGGGCTGGGTTCAGTTGGCTGTGTGATGCAAGAAAGATTTCCTATTAGTGCTGTACCTTTTCTATAGCTACAGAATCAGTTTCCAGTTACAGGATGGGCAGTTTTCAATAAGTCCAATAGTTGGTTGTGCCATGGCAAGGTTGATGTGATCAGTGTTCTACAACATCAGTATTCTAGAGTGCCTACTACAAACTTAAATGTTGAGAGAAGCCTGTGCCCTTCATCTCCACCTATCCCAGATGGTAAAGGAGAAATTCCTGTGAACGATAACATTTTTTGACTTGGATCTCTGAATTATGCCCTTGGGACGTATGTGAAACACAATGACAATAGCATATTTTGAAGTGCGTTACAAGTCTTGATCAATATGATTTGTGAATGCATGCACAGTTGTATCTGTTATTGGTTGTTAAGAGATCACTAGTAATGATGCCTAATATAAATCTTTATCTAGAGCAGCTGGAGATGTAATGCAAACAAGTAAGAAGTTCTGTGTTACACTATCAAAGAGAGAAAAAAAGCAATTGGTCTGCAGCAGCTGTTCATTACATCTCTGCCTGCAATCTAGGTGCAAGGGTGATGTTTTGGCATCTAGTTAATAGAAATGATAGTGAAGGAGCAAGCAGTTCATTGGATACAGCAAGGCCTGCCCTGCACAAGTCATTTTTGGCTAACCTACTTCTGAGAATTTCAGTGGGAGTAGTTCTAATTGCTGTGGGTATTTTATCTGCCATATTGTAGAAGGGAGAAGTTAATCTAAAGGAAAGTGATTTTAAATGAGCTTAACTGACACACCATGGATATGGCTGTTTAACGTGTTAAAGTAGTCAGGGGATGATGAGGAAAGCTTTTTAGTAAAATGTTTTTTCATGATAAGAAATGGATCATGTACAGTTCCTACTAAACAGGCTTCTGCAGTACATCAGGCAGTCTTACTGGCGCTCTGGGCACAAGAGGCCAGGGTTGAATTCCAAATGTGTGTCGAGGATTAATTTCATTTCTCTGGTTTGGAAAAATGATAGTTTTAATGTTAGTAACTCATTGACAACCCCCCATGTATGTCTTGGTTCCTAAGCAGATTTTTCTTAAACTTACACATTAAGGAAACCTATACTTTCTCCTAACAGAGGTCAAAACTAAAAGGAAAGGGAAAGTAACAACTTCCTTAATAAGGGCTTTATTTGTTCTGTAAGAAAAGATGCTTTCCTTAAGCCTTTTTAATTATAGCCTCAAGCTAGGACAAGCTGATACATAGTTTTAATTTGTACTTTTCCTTTTTATAAATCTCTGATCTTTTCTGATTTCTTCCCACTTCCTTGAAGAATAGTTCTAGTGTGCACTCTGCTTTTTCTAAGTGTTTTTCCCCAGTAGTGGAAAAGCTAAACAGGAAGTAACTAAAATGTTTGATTTATTTTATGCTAGGGATAGACGTTACACATAAACCAGTTTGTGTAATCAGCAACTAGTAAACCTGTAACAGAACAGATGTTCAGTGCACATAAACCAGTTTGAAAATGACTGAAACCAATTTAAGAAAAACCTGGTTGAATGTAGTAGCAGACTTAATTGATTTGGGTCAAACCGGTTTATGCAATGTCTGTCCCAGACCTCTTGCTGGCATGCTGTCTGGCTGGGTAGGGATCTGTGCTCCAGAGCAGGGCTGGCTCCTCCCCTCTGCTCCTTGGGCAGAGCTCCGGCAGAAACTTGCAGGCAACTGGTCTTTCCCTGCTAAGCAGGAATTATTTCCCCCTCCCCTCTGCCTTATGCAGACATCTCAGCATTAGCTAGCAGACCACATGCTGGCTATGGTCCATGCTGTGGGAGAGAACAAAGGCAGACAGGCTTTTTGGAGCTAATCAACAGGTAGCTTAATGTCCTTCCTTGGAAGAGCTGTTTAAGAAGCACTCTATTAGTTGATGGAGAGAGGCTTTGTTTTCTTAATGGGTTGATAAACACCGAGTTAGGGGTGATAAAAATTCCCTGCTGGGCTGCTTAGGAGAGTGGGGAATAATCAGAGTGTCCTGCCAGGGCCTGGCCATGGCCTGCTCAGTTCAGCCCTGTAGGATTTGATTTGGATTTGGCTGATTCAGATTTGGCTGATTCAGTTCCGAGATTTGAATTGCTTTTCTGATTCGATTTGGCCGAATCAATTCAGAAAATATTTGGAGCCGATTCAGAGAGATTCAGAGATATGGCCATAGGGTATAATGGGGAATCAATGAAATATCTATAACTTTGTTGTTTGGCTGATTCAGATGAAACTTGCAGGAGTGGTAACCTCTGCCAGGGGCATGAAGACTGCCAAGTTTCAAGGTGATAGGGGTTTCTAGGAAACTGCACCTCAAAGTCCTAAAAGTAAAATTTATGTTATGTGCATGTGTTAAGCCACAGCAGGGTGAAAACTGCAAAGATGGTAGCTCTTGCTGAGCCTGCCAAGTTTCAAGGAGATAGGTGCAGGGGTTTCTGGGAAACTGCACCTCAAACTGCTGACCAGCAAAACTCATGATATAGGTGACACTGTGTGTGTGTGTTAAGGCACAGGGGGGTGAAGACTGCAGGCCTGCTAGGGCCTGCTGTGACCACAAAGCCTGCCAGCTGTGAAGGAGATAGGTGCAGGGATTCAGTTTCCCAGAATTGCCAAATCTTTTCCGAATTGATTCGGAAGCTCTGAATCAATTTGGAAAGCCTAA